CTGTTTACCGAGAGGGGTGGGAACAGGCCATGAGGGAAGAGTTTGAAGGGCACTTGGGCACGGGGACGTTTTCATTCGTAGACGGTGCGCCAGAGGGGCGCAGGCCTGTGAGCTCAAAGTGGTGTTTTAGTTGGAAGACCAACAAGGAAGGGAAGATAGACACGTTCAAAGCGCGTCTGGTTGCTAGGGGGTTTTCGCAAATCCCGAACGTCGATTATTTCCATTCGTCTTCCCCTTGCCCCTCATCCGCATCCATTAAGCTGATGCTTGCGGTAGCGAACGAGAAGGGCATGAACCTCAATCACTGGGATGTGAAGCAGGCGTATACACACGCTACGCTAGACGAGGAGGTTTTTCTGAAGCTCCCCGCTGGGTGCGGGGACAAGTCGCATAAGATTGCTAAGGCTGAGCGTGCGATTTATGGTCTGAAGCAGAGCGGTAGGCAGTGGGGGTACCACGCTGCTGATACGCTAGTCGAGAACGGGTTCGAGCAATGCAAGGCGGACCTGTGTGTTTTCCGCAAGATGGTAGACGAAGTCGTGATGATGATCATCGTGATTTATGTGGATGACATTTTGGTGGNCTGGATGATTTTGTGTCACGCAGACTGGTAAGATAAGCGTTTGATAGGGGGCACCGCGATGATTCACGGGGCCCCTCCTTGCTGTGGGAGCCGCTCTTTGAGCACTCCCTCTTTCGTCCGTGTGAAGGACGGTCGTCTACCTCCCGTGAAGTTAATACATCACCAAAACAGTCTCACCCGATAAATAAGTGGCGTAGGCCGCAAACAGCACGCCTATCACGACCACGTATTATCTGGAGGCCACTTAGCGTCTAGACCGACTTATGAGAAGATCCGCCAAAAGTACTGGTGGCCAACCATGAATCGGGACGTCCGTACTTGATGTGAACAATGCCAAGCCTGTCAACGTCGAAAAACAGCCCACAATCGAAACAAATTACCAACGGGACATGTACCAGTACAAAGACCGTTCGAACGTATCTCGGTTGACCTAGTTGAATATAAAGTAGAATCAGTTTCAGCCGCCGGGGTACGGTGCAAATATGTCCTATCCATGATGGACCACCCAAACCCGATTCACCGTGTTGACTCCGATTCCCAACAAGTCAGCAATCACTGTCGCGCAGGCCATTATCGACCGCATCATCAGCATCTTTGGATCGCCTGAAATGTTGCATTCCGCCCAAAGACCTGAATTTGAGAACAGTGTAGCCACGGTGGTTGGTTGTTTCCATTGGAAACAACCTATTTTTTTAAGTGTTTGGGGAAGCGCTCACGAGGAGAGTTGAACTAAACCACCGTTATCCCAAGATCGTATTTTTGATGAATAGATAAACTTGCTAGAGGGTCACCTCATTACAAGCTCATCCCTCATCCAGATCTTATTTTTTGATGAATAGGTAAACTTGCTAGAGGGTCACCTCATTACAAGTTCATCCCGCATCAAGACCTTATTTCCCGGTGAATAGATAAACTTGCCAGAGGGTCACCTCATTACAAGTTTATTCCTCACCGAAATCTTATGGTAAGATGAATACACAGACTTGCCGGAGGGTCACCTCATTACAAGTCCTGTATCGCTCATCAACATTTTTAACTATGATCAAAGACAAACTTGCCAGAGGGCCACCTCATTACAAGTTTATCCCTCATCAACCCCACAGCATAGCATGCTACACGAGCATGATCATGCGAAATATTATAGTACACTAGCTGTCGTCATGATAGCCCAATACTCATTTTTTTTTTTTCTAGACTATACTAGTATGGACCACATCCATCACTACTCCGTCTGAGGACTCCGTGTTTTTTTAACACGCGTTGTACGATGATCAGGCCGAGTTGATGATGTTGTACCAGGTAGGTTAACTCCGATGCATGTGTCTCCATGAGCCACTCATGTCTCTGACCGCCAAAAGCACATATTTTGCACAGATGGACTTGTGGCGCATAAAGGGGGGAGTGATGTGGAGGACACCTGTCGGGAGTATAACCAACCATGAGTGCACATACAAAGTGTTGGAAGATATAGCTCCATCGGGGTATCTTGTCACTGGGAGAGTGACAAGAAACGCACCGTCGGAGACTTGTCTCTTCCGAAGTCCATGGCCACTTGCCGAAAGTAGAAGCGGAGAGTCTTCGACTGTCCTCTCCCTCTGCTCTCTCTGGCCACTCTCTCTTTCTACCCTCTTCTCCTCGTTTACATATCACGAGAGGAAATAGCCTTCCCCTGGCAGTGGGATAATACTGCCAAGGCACCGGCCTCTGTCTCCGACAGTAGCCAAGGACCATATTCGGAGACAACGGGAGAGAACTAATTGAAATGATACTGCAGGAGACACTCCCGAACCAAAGAATGGATGGCCTCGTGTGGAGCCGCATGGCAAGCGTGTAAAGAGAAGAAGTGATGAGAGAATGATCAGCAAAAGAACTGAAAAACAAGGTGTGATGACTCTACCGTGTTCAAGCGCAGGAAGCGAACACGGGACGAAGGGAACGAGCGATGAAGGCGAAAGGCTCCTCAGGATTATGGAGCACGGCTCCCTCAACGCGAGCACGCTGAAAGGATACCACAGCAAGTGGGACACGTGGACAGGTGAAAGAGCTAAAGCGAATCTGAGTCCATGGTTGTACGAAGAAGACGGTGTGGATAGCGCAGTGATAGAGCTGACTGTGTTCATGGCGTCGAGGTGTTTAGTGGACAAGAACCAAAGCCAAACGGTGAAGGGGTACCTCGCGACTATCAAGTACTTCCATAAACTGTAAGCAGGCTGGGAGCTGCCCACGTCTCACTTCAGAAGGGTAGCTGTTGGGAAGGCAATAGACAGACTGCATGCGAGGGCAGAGACGAAACCGTTGGTAAGGCAACCGCTCACCGTGCCGATAATCATTGCTGGTAGAGAAAGAACGCAGACGAATGCTTCCGGACTAGTGACGTGGATGGGGATCGCTCTCTCATATTTCTTGCTGTGCCGAGCGTCTGAGCTGTGGGCCTACCAGAACGGCTTAGTGCACGCCGGTGTTTGTCTCACGAGAGGGAACCTCGTATTCTTCGAAGGAGCGTGTCGGCTAGCGTGGAACGAAAGAAGGTGGGCAGACAGAGTAGAAGTGACCTTTCGCGCGTCGAAAGCGGACCAAAAGAGGCGAGGCGCGGTAGTATCGAGAGAGAGAGTAGTGCGGGACGAGGAAGGGGGACAGATGGCTGAGAAGTTGGGNCGAGGGCAGAGACGAAACCGTTGGTAAGGCAACCGCTCACCGTGCCGATAATCATTGCTGGTAGAGAAAGAACGCAGACGAATGCTTCCGGACTAGTGACGTGGATGGGGATCGCTCTCTCATATTTCTTGCTGTGCCGAGCGTCTGAGCTGTGGGCCTACCAGAACGGCTTAGTGCACGCCGGTGTTTGTCTCACGAGAGGGAACCTCGTATTCTTCGAAGGAGCGTGTCGGCTAGCGTGGAACGAAAGAAGGTGGGCAGACAGAGTAGAAGTGACCTTTCGCGCGTCGAAAGCGGACCAAAAGAGGCGAGGCGCGGTAGTATCGAGAGAGAGAGTAGTGCGGGACGAGGAAGGGGGACAGATGGCTGAGAAGTTGGGGGCGCTAGAGATCTTGCTGAATCTGCTTGACCTGCACCCAGAGTTAGGAAGTAGCGCGCCGCTCATGCAGTCGGTCAAGCAGGGACGGTGGGCAGTAGTGTCGAGGTCGGAAACAACGACAGTGCTGAGAGACATGGTGAAAAGAGTAGGAGAAGACCCAACGCACTTCGCGCTGCATTCAGGGAGGATAGGTGGTGCGACGCAACCAGCAAAGCAGGGCGAATCGGTTGTTCAGATTCAGAGGGCGGGGAGGTGGAAGTCAGGAGCGTTTATGACGTACGTTAGGGCAGGAGGTGAAGGTGCTAATTATATGTATCGCGCGCACTACCAGCGTCTAGCTGAAGGAAAGAAGTAGCGTGGACAAGAGCGCCGAGTATCGGGTCGCGCAACGGGATATGACCTGGGTATAGACGTCGGGTTGGNCATGCAGTCGGTCAAGCAGGGACGGTGGGCAGTAGTGTCGAGGTCGGAAACAACGACAGTGCTGAGAGACATGGTGAAAAGAGTAGGAGAAGACCCAACGCACTTCGCGCTGCATTCAGGGAGGATAGGTGGTGCGACGCAACCAGCAAAGCAGGGCGAATCGGTTGTTCATATTCAGAGGGCGGGGAGGTGGAAGTCAGGAGCCTCTATGACGTTCGTGAGGGCAGGAGGCGAAGGCGCTAACCATGTATCGCGTGCACTAGCGTCTAGCTGAAGGGGAGAAGTAGCGTGGAAAAGAGCGCCGAGTATCGGGCCGCGCAATGGGATATGACCTGGGCATAGACGTCGGGTTGGCCTGATAAGTGATACCTAGTGAGTCCGAGAAGAAGTCAATGGTTCGGCTCATAGGTTGGATTTTGGTTTTGATATGTTTTGGTTTCGGCGTTTCTGATTTCTTGTCGCCTTTTTCTAATTATCCAAATTTCTTGAGCAAAACACAAAACGAAGGATTCGGTATAGGAAGCGTTCCGGAAATTTCGTGAAAGAGCGGCGAGAGGCATAAAAGGGTACACGGGGGGTATGGCTATATACAGGGTGCAAATAAGAGAGAGAGAGAGTGGCATAAGCTTTTGAGATCCTTGGGAAGCCGAGGACCTCGCAGGGAAAAGCGTTGCATCGCCCGCGAAGGCAGGGCAGCAAAGCAGCAGCGAGAGAATAGAGTTTTCGTTTGGGACTTGATCGAATTTTCCCACCCACCCACCCTGTCGCTCAAGAGAGGAGGGATCAATGGGAATAGAAATATCGGTCTAGTACCAAATTTGTTTTCCAATTTGCGTTAATTTTTGCGCTGTCTTGAGAAGGGATAGGACCTGGGCATTGACGTCGGGTTGGCCCGATAAGTGATACCTAGTGAGTCCGAGAAGAAGTCAATGGTTCGGCTCATAGGTTGGATTTTGGTTTTGATATGTTTTGGCTTCGGCGTTTCTGATTTCTTGTCGCCTATTTCTAGTAATCCAAATTTCCTGAGCAAAACACAAATAGTCTATATGCAAACAAGCACAGAGAGTCTACCGTTCGAGACATATCACCACCACTCACTGTCGAACGGGATGTGTTGGAGTCTTTGCAGTGAGTGGAGGGAAAACAGATTGTTGCTCATGTATGCATAGTTTTTTTGCAGACTTGTGTGCGCGCTGGGCGGGGCACGTACGTGCGTATACCCCTCTCCCCCGTCAAATTTCACAGTCCCGCGCGCTGTCCGAGCTTCAGAAACAACATCACCCGAGACTCACGAGCTCACGCAAAACTCCACATCATAGATCACAACGGTCACTCGCGACCACGAGAATACATTCATTCGCAATTCTCACAGTCCCGCCGCTCTCCGCCATCACGAGGCCACAAAAAAAACTCTCTTTGTCCCAGACGTTGAAAGGTATCCGGTAGGTTCGAACGCATGTCCTCCAACGAGCCACAAGGGGGTCGATCAACGGGCCGACCAACGTGCCGATCAAGGCCCAGGCTCGATGTGGACGCTCAGCGGTCGCCGTCGTGACAGTTGAGGGAACTATCCGTTTCGCTACAAATCATGGAACGGGAACAAGGAATGCGCCCTGCCCTCAATCCTCCCCACGCACCCCCACCCTCTCACTTTCATCCTTCGCCCAAACCAAAGCATCTTGCTTGGCGAGCCTTCTTCTACCCTCTCTCCAGAGATTGCTTCGAGGGTAGGGATTACTTGAGGGGTTAACAGCAGGTACAGCAGTAGGGTGCGTTTGCCTTGCTGATTCGGGACAACATGCAGCCTACTGCTGTTATNCGAGCCTTCTTCTACCCTCTCTCCAGAGATTGCTTCGAGGGTAGGGATTACTTGAGGGGTTAACAGCAGGTACAGCAGTAGGGTGCGTTTGCCTTGCTGATTCGGGACAACATGCAGCCTACTGCTGTTATTTTTGTACAGAACCGGCCCGCACTTAAGAACCTCTTATTTGGAGCGAGGCTCGCTTCTTGTTGGCTGCCCCAAGCCGAGCACAAGTTCTTATTTGCC